TTGCTTTAAAATATAGATCCAGACTTTCCTAGAGAAGTCATCAATGAAAGTCAACATATATCGAGAACCACCAAGAGAGGGAACTCTGGAAGGACCCCAGAGATCTGAATGAATGTAATCAACAGTGCCTTTGGTCCTATGAACAACTGTACTGAACTTGAGTCTTTTCTATTTGCCAACGACACAATGCTCGCAAAAGTCCAGCTTTCCCGTCTTCTGTCCACCTAGCAAACCTCGGTTGCTCAATTCTGTCAAACCCCTCTCACTCATATGCCCTAAACGCATATGCCATAGATGGGTAGTTTTTGAATCTTGATCAACTGAAGAAGATACTGAAGCAGCGCCTGTCACAGTACTGCCCTGCAAAAAATAGAGGCCTTCTCTCTGTTTTCCCTTTAGCATAGTAAGAGCACCTTTAGAAATTCTCAAAACTCCACCTTCAACTGAAAACTTGTAACCATTAGAGTCAAAAGTACCAAGAGAAATCAAATTCTTTTTCAAATCTGGAACATGCCGAACATCAGTTAAAAGTTCTAACAATACCATCATGCATCTTAATTTGGATTGTACCTATACCAACAGTCTTACAGGGATTGTCGTTCCCCATTAAGACAGTACCACCATCAACAGAACGGTAAGTAGAAAACCAGTCCCGATTGGGACACATATGATAGGAACAACCAGAATCAAGAACTCATTCACTACTAAAGTGACAATCACTGATAGAAACTAAAAGAACATTTGTGACATTCGAGGAACTTTCCTCAGCAACCCCAGTAATATCAGAAGAATTACTAGTGGATTTATCCTTAGACTCATTTTTATCCTTTTTATCCTTCTTTTTTTTTTTTTTTTTTTTTCAATTTTGGACAATTCCACTTAATGTGCCCTTTTTGGTGACAATAATAACATTCAAGTTCTTTATGAGACCTAGATTTAGATCTCGATTTGCCCCTACTACCATAGCCCTTTTTCTCACTTCTTCCCTTCACAACTATACCCTCGGCCTGTTCATCTCCATTATTCCCAAACACTTTTTTCCTTAACTCTTGAGAGTTCAGTGAGGATTTAACATCCTCCACACTAATGGTGTCTTTTCCATAGAGCAATGTGGTAACAAAATGCTCATAGGAAGGAGGTAAAGAACACAACAAAATAAGGGCTTGATCTTTTTTATCAATTTTAATATCAGTATTTTTCAAATCCATAATAATAGAATTGAAATTATCAACATGTTCCTTAAAAGGCATACCTTCCTTCATACGAAGGGTGTAGAGTCTCTGTTTCAGGTAAAGTTTGTTGGTAAGAGACTTCGTCATGTATAGACTCTCCAATTTCAGCCACAACTTTGCCACCGTGTCTTCATCAATAACTTCGTGCAGCACCTCATCGGCTAGATTCAGGAGAATCGCACTGTGCGCCTTTTCATCGAACTCATCCTTGTCTTCATTGGACATAGTTTCTGGCAACTTGTCCTTCCCGAACAGCAACTTCTTTAGACCTTGTTGAGTCAGTAGGGCCTGCATGTTGATGCGCCAAAGACTGAAACTAATCTTGCCATCAAATTTCTCAATTTCATATCTGGTCGACATCTCAAAAAACTCCCCAAAAAATTCCTCGGTGAATAGTACCGTATTTGTGAACAGTACCCGAAAAATATCTGTGAATAATATCGTATGTGTGAATAGTATCTGTACACAATACACGAACCGAGCTTTGATACCAGTTTGTTATGAAAATATAGATTAAGTAGGAGTTTATAAGAACAAGAGAAAAAATAAATGACAAGAAAAATAAATAAAGCGCACACACAAACGAGACAAGGATTTACGTAGTTCGGCTGTGCCTACATCCACGGGGAGAAGACAGAACAATATTTCACTAAGGAAATAAAGAGATACAATGTTTAAGTGACTTACACCCAAAACCCAATTACACTCTGAACTCTCTCACACTCTGCTTTGCTTTCATAAAGCAAATGAACACTTAATTTTTTGGATGCTTGAGCCATGGAGAAGCTAGGCTATTTATAGCCTTGTGAACTTTGGAGACCACCAAAAAATCTTGATCAGCAAGCACATGGCCGGATGCTTGGAGACCACGCACAGCTTTCTCATCAATCTACTTGGTTGCCAAGCATTGCTGATGACATGAGTGATGTATGTTGATGATGTAATGGGTGAGGTAAAGGATGATGAGGTGGCGTAAATTAAGCCATTAAAACAACATATATATATATATATATATTTTTTTTTTTTTTCTTGGGCTGTTGCCTATGCAATAATTAAACACACCATAAATCAGTAACTCGGAACAGTCACTTTATTAAGTATCAAATGTTAGGTTTGTCTCAAGTCCACCATTCTTAGGTATGTCTCTTTTAGAGTATAACGTTGTTTTTTTATCAGCCGTGATTGTCTTGATATTGTCAAGGTTATTGATCATAAACTTTTCTTAACATAAGGGCAAGACACAAATAGTTTATTTCTTAAAAAGTGAAACAACAGCTCAAAATGCTGGGCAGCAACAGTAGGACTTCTAAGCACATGAGTGATCACACTGGCAAATGGCTAATAGGTCTTCAAGGATGAATGGTTATGTACCTCTTACATAAGGTGCATGGGCAGCAACAATAGGACATCTCACCATATGATTGCCTTTAACATCATTCCAGCTTAAATACCCATAATTTATTATGGAATCACTTTGGGTGCTAGCATCTCCAATAGTGACCTCTACTGTTATTTTGAACTCGGCTTTGCTGTACTTTTTAGCAAAGGACACCTCCAGAGGCTGCACAACTACTTTCATCCCTGATGGAGCCTTCACCACCGCACGATAAACAGATGGACTATCTTCTACATTTGTTAACACCCTATTAAAGGTGTAACTCGTAGTGTTAGTCTTGTTGAGGAGAACAATAAAAGATGGGTAATTAAGGTCAAGACTGGCCTGATCGCAGCTAAATTTCGACCTCCTGGTGATGACCTTAATCTGTTTGTTTGTGTAGTTCATTCCACACAAGTAGTTGATATAGTCCTGCACCTCTATGTCATAAATAAGACCAGGATCCATGGCCTTTTCAGGGTTTATATGTCCTGCTCCAAAATCTAAAGGAGTCCCAGCAACTTTAGTGGTCATGTCAATGATGGGGTCATTGGCGTTATCAATCACATAAGCAGTGGTCATCATTGCTGATCGGATGGCAGCTGGGCTCCAATCCTTGTGGACTGATTTTAGCAGTGCTGCTACGCCAATTGCATGGGGAGAAGCCATTGAAGTGCCAGAGACGATTACAAAATCGCTAAGCAATAAGTCGTCTCCTATAGGTGCAATTCCTCTATTGGGTGCCCAAGCAGCTAAAATATCAACCCCAGGAGCCAAAATATCAGGCTTTAGTATCCATGGAGACATGAGGTCTGGCCCTCGTGATGAGAACCATGGCACAATAGGGGCAGGCTTAGTACCCAACACCGTTATCTGGAACTTGATGCTAACAGTTGCATTCTCTGTTTTGATTAAGTAGTCTTTGATCAAATCTCCATCATTTGGGGTTACTGCCACAAATGGAAAATTGAAATCACTTGGCCTAAGAAATCTTTGGAAGTCTGTACTAAAGATTGCTCCAGCAGCTCCTGTCCTTTCTACTTCAGACGTATTGACTCCTGAATCTTCATCAAAAAAGTCACAGAAAACAAACTTCCCCGCAACATCTTTTGGGTCAAGAGAATATTCGTCGCAAATTTCTTTGCTTCTATTCCCTTGGCCAAAGTATATTGGAACCCCAGACACTGACAAGTCCAATGGGTAGACAGATTTTCCTCCAACAGTGAAGGCCTCATCACCAAGTGTAACATTAGCTGCATAATCGCGATCAATTGTCCCAGCACCAACAGTTGTGATCCAAGGAGCTCCATTGCGTATAGTGAAACCATGAGGACCACTATTGCCAGCTGCACAAGACACAAAAATCCCTTTCTCCATGGCTGCAAAAGCTCCCACTGCAATAGGGTCTGCATCAAAAGGCGTTTCAATGAATCCCAATGACAATGACATGAGATCTACCCCGTCAGCTATGGCTTGGTCCATGCCGGCTAATATGTCTGTGGCAACAGACTCATGATTGTCTTTGGTGAAAAGTACCTTGTACATGGCAAGCCGAGCTTTTGGTGCGACTCCAGTTGCTGTTCCTTTTGCATAACCAAAGTAATTGGCACCTTGTACTGGGCTCCCAGCAGCAGTGGACGATGTGTGTGTCCCATGTCCAAAGTAGTCCCTTGGAGAGTCGTAGTCATCAGTTCTTGATATGTTTAACCCTTGTTGCTTCATCCCTTTACTGAAAGAGCGAGCTCCAATGAGTTTTCTGTTACAATACGAAGAGTTGAATTCTACCCCCGACTCACATGCTCCACGCCATCTCTCTGGCACGGGGGGCATGCCATCATCTCTGAAACTCTCACTTTCTGGCCAGATGCCAGTGTCCACGATACCGATAATCATGTCGTCACCGAAATTGGCTTGAGGCCACAAGCCAGCACTCTTTTTCAGGCCAAGAAACTCTGGAGTATGTGTGGTGTGAAGCTTTCCAGAGGTCTCAGGGTATGTGGCTATATGGCCAGGCATCTTCTCTAGCTGATCCAGTTGAGACCGAGATAGCACTGCACTGAAGCCATCCCACACATGGTTGTAGGTGTAGAGATGGATTGGGAAAACGCCATTATCAGACGATGACAGGGATGAAAGCATCGACATGTACCAATTATCATGGTCTGAGAAGGGCGTCGGCAAGGCTGATTTGTCCATGTGGATGATGTAGGTGCCACGATCATCCACCACGGAAGCTGACAAAGCAGTTGAAAGGAGAAGGAAGAGAGACAAGAGCTTGAAAGGAAGGTAGCACTCCATCGTTGCTGTGAAGTGACTGCAGTTCACAAGAAATCTGTTCAATTACAAAGTGTTTATATAGGCCAGTTTGTTTAAAATGTTAGTGGGACACCTAACTAAAAAATATTGCCGCGAGGAACATTTTCCAAGCTAAATAAACCAACTGGATGAGACAGATTAAGAAGCAGCAGTAGTGATTGGAGTTCTCCTGTTGCTGTCTGAAAGGCCTGCCAGCAGGCCGACGAAACTCGATCAGAGAATTGGTTGCTAGTTTCTTGTAGTACCTCAGTGTAATGTTGTAGCTGAATATATTACAGATTACAGAGTTATACTTAAATATAGTAGAGTCATTGTCAACTGTAAAAAAATCAGTGTAAGAACCAGTCTTGTCATTATCCAACAGCATATAGCTTCATGAATTGTCTTTCAATTTGAAAAATAATATAAGGTGTGATTTCTACAAATTCATTAAGCTCCATATGTAATTTTAACTGTTATATGCTTAAAAACATCAAATTTAAGAATGGCCACACTAAATCTAAGTGGAGAGATGACGAGATTGATAACCAAACAGCTCACAGCAAACCAGGACTAACCATGAGCTTCAGTCTTCAGCTTCAATTCAAGTAGACGTAAAACCAAAGTTATCACAGTTTCATTTAACCTGCTACAATATTGATCAGTCAAAATGAAAAATATTACATTGGTTTATGTAATGAATTATAATAGTTGAGATGGATCTTTATTTGCAGATGGAAGTTACAGTGACTCATGAAGGAGTTATACATAGAACTTTTGAGATTAGACTTCAAATCTATGTCAGGCACAAAAGAACATAAATGTTACTACTACTTTTTCCCATTCTCTCTTTCTAAAACTTGGGGAAAAAATGGAAAAGGGGACAGGTCAGTGACAAGCATACCGCAGTTATAATATCCTAAGTTAAAGACGTTAAAAAACCTCAAACAGATGGCAGCTGCACAATTCTTCTGGCCGCCAACAACTAACTCTAGGGATGACAATTCATTTTACTAAACATGTCAATCCAAACTATCTGTTTAATAATTGTGTTAGGACCCTCAACACTAACACGATCAGTTTATAAAACATATTACACCTGTGAATACGTTAAAATGACATGTTTGTCAAAACCTCATATTATATTATTTAGATTATTTATAATCCTTAATAAAAAAATATAAGTCTCAATCCAACCAAATTATTAAATAGTCTCTAGTTGTACGTAACAAGGGAGAGTTTGTCTCACATCGGATCCGGATGGGAGAGTTATTGGGTGTATATGGGTCTCCACCCAATAGTTTAGACTTTTGAGTCAGATTGCGAAGCAACCACCTATTACAATTGATATCAGCGTCCTTGATCCGGTATTACGCTAAACACCCAACTCGGAGGCGTCCGGGTGTGCCATCCGGGTAGGCAGCTAAGGAGCTATGTTTTGATGACATATTTATTACACAATGCATATGTTTTGATATATATATTTTTTATTAACAAAAAATACACTCAAACTCATTTTGTTCTTATAGAGACTTGAACACTCAACTTTTTACAAAATGCCACTCAGTTACAGTCCTTGGTCGGTGTTTAGAGATGAAATTTTAATGGAGTTTTAAGGTTGTATTACAGTTTAGTTAATTCCTATGTTGAATAATACTATCATAAGAGCCTTCTCATGATGAGCTCTCTTTCTATCACCCACAATTTTCATTAAATTGTCAAGGTTATTGATCATATACTTGTTAACATAAAGAGCAAGACACAAATAGTTATTTCTATAAAGTGAAACAATAGCTCAGATGCTGGGCAATCTGGCATATGGTTAATAGGTCATGAAGCATACATGCTTGTGTACCTCTTACATAGGCCTTAAAGGATGAATGGTTATGCATCTCTTACATAAGGTGCATGGGCAGCAACAATAGGACTTCTCACCATATGAGTGCCATTAACATCATTCCAACTTAAATACCCATAATTTACTATGAAATCACTCTGGCTACTAGAATCTCTAATAGTGACCTCTACCATTATTTTGAACTCGGCTTTGCTGTACTTTTTAGCAAAGGACACCTCCGGAGGCTGCACAACTACTTTCATCCCTGATGGAGCCTTCACCACCGCACGATAAATAGATGGACTATCTACTACATTTGTTAACACCCTATTAAAGGTGTAACTCTTAGTGTTAGTTTTGTTGAGGAGAACAATAAAACATGGGTAATTAAGATCAAGACTGGCCTGATCACAGCTAAATTTTGACCTTTTGGTGATGACCTTAATCTGTTTGTTTGTGTAGTTCATTCCACACAAGTAGTTGATATAATCTTGCACCTCTATGTCATAAACAAGACCAGGATCCATGGCCTTTTCAGGGTTGATATATCCTGCCCCAAAATCAAGAGGAGTCCAGCAATTAGTGGTTGCGTCAATGATGGGGCCATTGGCGTTATCAATCACATAAGTAGTAGTCATTATGGCTGATCGGATGGTAGCTGGGCTCCAATCCTTGTGGACCTTATTTAAAAGCGCTGTTACACCAACTACATGGGGAGAAGCCATGGAACTACCAGAGGCGATTGCAAAATCAGTAAGCAAATAGTCGTCTCTTATACATGCAATTCCTCTATTGGGTGCCCATGCAGCTAAAATATCAGCCCCAGGAGCCAAAACATCTGGCTTTAGTATCCATGGAGACACAAGATACGGCCCTCGTGATGAGAACCTTGCCACAATAGGGCAGGCTTAGTACCCTATAAATTTTGTACTTGTAATTTTTATAACTAATTAAATTAAGTTTAGATAGGAGGAAATTAAGTTTTTACTAATAATTTTTATAACTAATTAAATTTTGTACTTGTACAACACATTATATTAAAGTGCCGCATGAATCTTCGATCTGTACTTGTGCCTCCTACTTGTAGTCTAATGTAATGTGTTGTACTTGTGCCTCTCAATATAAATGCATATTATCTCTACAGTTAAGTTTTATTTTATTTTTGAAATAATTAAGTTGCGTATTCTTAAGATACACATGATGAATAATCAAACATATAATATATGTTAAATCATGCTAACATTTAATAAAAAAAATAATTAAAAATAATAATTAATGGGTCCACGGGTCATAACAGGTTGACCTTGCCCATTATCAACCCGTTCTGAACGGGTTGAATATGGGTTTTGACCCATTTTGACCAGCCCATTTTCAATCGAACCCAAATTCGGCCCAACCCGCCCATTTGCCACCCCTTATATAAGTTATAGTGACTCATGAAGGAGCTATACATAGAACTTTTGAGATTAGACTTCAAATCTATGTCAGGCACAAAAGAACATAAATGTTACTACTATTTTTTCCCATTCTCTCTCTCTAAAACTTGGGGAAAAAATGGAAAAGGGGACAGGTCAGTGACAAGCATACGGTGCATACCTCAGCAGGGATGACAATTCGTGTTTGCTGGTCATAATCTGTCATGTCGAACTTAGAAGTATTTTATTAGACATGTCAATTCAAACAAGACCTGTTTAATAATTGTGTCAGGACGTTAACACTAATACGACCTGTGTTTATTAAACTTGTTACACGTGTGAATATGTTTAATGACATGTTTGTCAAAACTTGAGATTATATTATTTAGATTATATATAATCCTTAATAAAAAAAATATATAAGTCTCAATCCAACCAAATTACTAAATAGTCTCTAGTTGTAACAAGGGAAAGCTTGTCCTACATCGTATTCGGATCGGAGAGTGATTGGGTATATATAAGTTGAATGTTATCCCCACCTAATAACCTAGACTTTTGGGTCGGATCGTGAAACACCCACTCACTACAATTGTTATTAGAGTTAGACCCATCAGTTCTTGATTCAGTGTCATGCCAAGTACCCGGCCTAGAGGCATCAGGATAGATAGCTAAGGAGCTATGTTTTGATGACATAGTTATTACACAATGCATCTGCATGTTTATATATATATATATATATATATTTTTAATTGACAAGATATATACTCAAACTCATTTTGTTCTTATAAAGACTTGAACACTCGACCTTTTACAAAATTACCACTCAGTTATAGCCCTTGGTCGGTGTTTAGAGATAAAATGTTAATGGGATTTTAAGGGTGTGTTACACTTTAGTTAATTCATATGTTAAGAGATGCTATCATAAAGAGCCCACTCATGATGAGCTCTCAATTAACTAGCTCATTAAATTATTCATTTGACTTTTCACAAATTTCAATAAACTGCCTAAATCCAATAGTTAAATAAACAGAATTAGTACCTCTTGTCATGAGAAGCTCTCATGATAGCATTACTCTGTATACTTATATATATGATTAATGTTCTCAAAAGAGCTCTCTCATGAGAATCACAAACTCTTCAAATTTAGCCAATAAATTGAGATAGGTGTAAGAGATTTGTGAAAAACAAATTAATTATTTAATAGATTTTTTAATTTATTGGTTAAAATGAAGAACTCATGGTATGAACTCCATTCATTCGTTAAAATGGAGAGTTCATAGTGACCGAGCTCTCTTGAGAGCATCTCTCTTCATATATTTCAACCACACTAGCAATTTCAAATATTTCAAAACGATGAGCATTAACACCAAAGTGGATCTCAAACTGAACTCGGCCCAACTAGAGCCCAAATCGTAATTCACAATTATTACAAAATAAGCCCAAACTAATGAAAAACCCAAGCCCAAAGGTAATTCAAAAAGAAGCGGCCAACAACAGCACTCAAACTACACCAAGTCGGGGAGCTTCCTTGGAGGCCGACAACTCTTCATCTCTGTGTTCAACGATTTTTCACATATTAGATTATATAACAACAACGCTACACAAATAATTAATTAGCAAAAGGCATGTTTGGATATACATGATTAAATTAAATTATCTACCGAGAATTGATTATTGATTTTTTTTACTCAATATGGTGGTGTTGAGCCTCTATAATCCCCTACCAAAATGCAGGTAGTTCTTACGCCACATATGTAACGATCCCAAAACTAATGCCAAGAATTTTTTATTTTTAAAAAAAAAAATTCTTGGCATTAGTTTTGGGATCGTTACAAATTTGGTATCAGAGCGATGGTTCGAATACCATTAGGACGACGGGTAGAGGCTTGCCTAGGGTTGTCTGGGATGTCTGGGAAGTCATTTGCATTGTTATTTCCTTGTTTGGAAAAGTGTTTTGCTATGTGAAAAAGCATGCTTAACTGCTTACTTACTTACGTGCTTTTGTGTTTATATGCTTACATTAATGTGTTCATTGCATAGTATTACATGCTAAATGTTTGTACAGTATGTTTTTGCGTTGGGTTGTTCATGGTTGGACCTTAGTGTTATCGTTATTGAATTGTTTCCTTTGTTTTATAGAACGATGTCACGGCGTGAGGAAATCAGGGAAGTTGGCCCTAGATCGACTAGGGGTGATGTTGGCGAGAGCTCCAGCTCCAATCCGGAGGAGCTAAATGATGAGGACACACTTCTTAGGGACTTGATTCCCCCGAGAACTGTCCCCACAAGGAGGGATAATGTTGAAGCACCCGTAGAAATGGGTGAAGGTTCTGTGGCACTGGAGTTTAATCGTTTGTTGCAAAATGCCGTGAGAGCAACTATTGTTGCTCAGCCGCAGTTGGTACCACAACCTACAGTTCGAGTTGAGGAGACTCCAGCTCAGAAGCGTCTTAAGATCATTAAGGGGTTTTCTCAGCTGATGCCGGTTATGTTTGAGGGCGGTGCGGACCCAATGGTAGTCGATAACTACATGGATCAAGTCGAAACTCAGTTGACCTCAATGGATGTGATAGAGGATCACTTGAAGATCATCCTAGCAACTTACAAGTTTGCTATGGATGCCAAGGTTTGGTGGAAGTCGATCATTAACCAGTACAAGATTGAAGAGATGAGTTGGGATAGGTTCAAGGAACTGTTTTATGAGAAGTACTTTCCGCTTTCCAAAAGATGGGAGTTACAAGACCAGTTTCATAATCTTATTCAAGGGAACATGTTAGTGGCAGAGTATGAGAACAAGTTCACCTCACTCTCCCGTTTTGCTCCAGAAGTGGTGAGAGATGAAGCTAACAAGACTCGGAAGTTTGTTTCTGGTCTTAATGATCGGATGAGGCCGTTGATCACGGCACAGTTCATTAAGGTTTACTCTGAAGCAGTGGAAAGGGCTTTGATGCTGGAAGCTGATAATAAAGAGAAGGATGCAAGAAGAGAGCAATTGAAGCAAAAGAGGGGTGCAGGGCCATCCTCAGAAGGATCTTCTTGGAAAAGGAACAGGGGCAGTCCATCTCAGTTTCAGGGGCAACAGTCTACAAGATCTGCTCCTACCACTCCTATGCTAGCTGGACCTGACAGGAGTGCAGTTGTTTGTTATCAGTGTCAGCAGCCCGGACATTACAAGTCCAGTTGTCCGATGAGATCGTCTTCAGTTTCGTCAGCTCCGAAGGCTTGTTATGGGTGTGGCCAGCAGGGTCACTTGATTCGTGATTGTCCGGGTCAGAGAGCAAGCACCATTAGTGGCAGAGGGTCACAGCAGAGGCCGTCACAATCGGCTACAGTTCAGTCAGGTTTCAGACCACCACCACCACAGCCTACTATGTCTTCACAGGGTTCACGATCAGTTAGGAGGGATACTCCTACTATGTCAGTGCAGCAGTTAGGTGTTCAGGTTGGCAGTCCTCAGGCACAGGTACCACAGGGACGTGTTTTTGCACTGGCACAGACCGATGCATCTTCTGGACCGTTAGTTCTTCGAGGTATATTTCCAGTGTTTGGTTATTGGGCCCATGTTTTGTTTGACTCTGGTGCATCTCATTCTTTCATTTCATCATCATTTGCACTTGCATCGGGGTTAGAGGTCAGTTTTATGGATCGGGCGTTATGTGTTGATACACCAGTAGGGGTTTCAGTGTCATTGAGCCGAGTTGTGCGGGATTGCTCCATTGTGATAGCCGGGCGGACCTTTGTGTTTGACCTTATCCTCCTGGAGATGACTAGCTTTGATGTCATTCTCGGGATGGATTGGTTGGCTTCATTTCATGCCACGATCGACTGTTACAGAGGAAGGGTTACAGTTTGCACTCCCGAGGGAGACTGTTTCTTTTTCATGGGAGATCGGAGTGATTCCCACATTTCATCGTTTTATGGAATTCGTGGACGGAGTCGTGGTGATTACTTTTTGGCTACCCTTATAGCCGAAGAGGATGATGTTGTGGAAGAATATTATCCTGCAGTTGTTCGTAATTTTCTGGATGTGTTTCCGGAAGATTTGACAGAGTTGCCTCCACACCGAGAAGTGGAGTTCACTATTGATTTGATGCATGGTACTACGCCAATTTCTATGGCACCGTATCGTATGGCACCAGTTGAATTGGAAGAATTGAAGAGGCAGCTTGATGATTTGAGGATGAAAGGTTTCATCTGACCGAGTGTGTCACCATGGGGCAGACCGGTCTTGTTTACTAAAAAGAAAGATGGTTTGTTGAGGTTGTGCATCGATTATCGGAAGTTGAATCGCGCCACCATCAAGAACAAGTATCCTTTGCCAAGGATAGATGATTTATTTGATCAGTTGAGGGGAGCCAGTTGTTTCTCCAAGATTGACTTGAGGTCTGGCTATTATCAGTTGCGGGTTAGGGATGAGGATATCCCGAAGACAGCATTCCGTACACGGTATGGACACTATAAGTTCCTTCTTATACCTTTTGGCTTGACTAATGCGCCAGCGGCATTCATGGACTTGATGAACCGCGTCTTTCACGATTACTTGGACCAGTTTGTGGTAGTTTTCGTGGATGACATTCTTGTGTACTCACGGACTCGGGAAGATCACGAGGTCCATTTGAGTATTGTTTTACAGATTTTGCGGGAGCACCGATTGTATGCCAAATACGAGAAATGTGAGTTTTGGCTACAGGAGGTGAAGTTTTTGGGGCATGTTGTTTCAGAAGGTGGAGTATCAGTTGATCCATCAAAGGTTGAAGCAGTTTTGACTTGGGAGCGACCCAAGAATGTGTTTGAGATCCGCAGTTTCCTTGGTTTAGCGGGTTACTATCGGAGATTTGTGAAGGATTTCTCCCATTTGGCAGCTCCTATGACCCGTTTGACCCGGAAAGGGATCAAGTTTGTCTGGAATGAGGCCTGTGAGTCATCTTTCCAGGAATTGAAGACAAGATTGACTACGGCTCCAGTGTTGGTGATACCTGAGCGTGGCTTGGGTTATGTGATCTATTGTGATACTTCACGTGATGGTTTAGGGTGTGTGTTGATGCAGGATGGTAGAGTAGTGGCTTATGGGTCTCGACAGTTGAAGACTCACGAGTACAACTACCCTACTCATGATTTGGAGTTGGCGGCAGTTGTGTTTGCTTTAAAGTGTTGGAGACACTACTTGTATGGTGAAAGATTCGAGGTGTACTCAGATCATAAAAGTCTCAAGTACCTTTTCTCCCA